CCAGGCACACGGATCCTAATGGCCGCCTGGTGGTTCTTCACGCTCATCATCATTGCCTACTACACAGCCAACCTAGCGGCCTTTCTGACTATTTTCCTGCGTGTACCACCCATCAATGGGTGGATGGATCTACTGAAGAGTGACATGCACTACGGCTCTGTAAATTCCGGTTCCACCAAGGACTTCTTCTTCAACACTAACCTGGAACCCTTCCGGCAGATGGGCGAGTTCATGAAACGCAACCCCAGCGCTCTCTCGGATTCTGTGCAGCAGGGTGTGGAGAGGGTGCGCAAGTCCAAGGGCAAGTACGCCTTCGTGCTGGAGTCTCTGATGAACGAGTACTACAACAATCGAGAGCCCTGTGACACTATGATGGTGGGCAGCCCCTTCGGCAACTATGGCTACGGTATCGCACTGCCACGCATGTCGCCCATGAAGGAGGTCTTGAGTGATGCTGTGCTGAGGTTGCGTGAAAGCCAGGTGCTGGCTAGTCTGCGTAAGAAGTGGTGGATTGAGCGAGGTCAGTGCAACGATGAGGACCAGCGTTCAGCCTCCAATGCGCTTGCCCTCATTAATGTTGCCGGTGTGTTTTACATTCTCGTCGGTGGCATGCTCCTGGCTCTGGCAGTCTCCCTGCTGGAGCTCTGTTACTACCTTCGACGGAAGCGCTTTTTGCAGCGGAGAGCAGAACGCATCGAGGAGGATCCCTGGACCCTGCAGAGGTCGACAAAGTCGCGCTAACAGGTCTTTGTTTTAGTGACTGATTGGTCACAGACCCTTGGTGATTTAAAGGCTAACCTGAAAAACTGACCGGTTTCTATTGGTCGCCATTTTGAGCCTGCACGTATGCAAGGCTTGATTACTTACTCGTCGCAGTGAATCATTGTAAATGTTCATACTGTTCTTGCATTTCCTGGGCGACACTGATTACAATAATCAAGGTTATTTCTGAAAATTACATGTTTGCGTTTTTTTAAAACATCATGCGTGATGGAAGCATATGTCGCCAATATGACGACTTGCGAACTAAAAAGACTCCACTTAAAGATGGCGTGGTTTTAACATCTATCAAGGCGACTGCTGGAATTGGTATATTGGCCCCATTTGCTGGCTGCCAGAAGCGATTGCGCTCAATTTAATTTTTCATTTATAGTAACTGGTAAATAGTATTCCCGAATCTTCGCTACTTGAGACTAAGATAGTTGTCAGCGCGTTAGGCCTCTAGAACACATACCGATAAACCCTACTAGGAGGCATTGAGCCAGAGACGTTGTCACTGTGGACTTTGATGAAGATAGTTCAGAGTCATAATGAAGTAGTGTTCGATCCTGATCGCCAGACTACTGCAATCTGAAGTGATTGTATGGCTAGCTGAACGGAAGCAGTAAACGCAGGTGGAACAATGCACTAACGTCCCTTCACCCTTTATGAATAATGTTCCTGAAATATACCTCAGTAACTTTTCAGCCACTTATGGGGTAGTTCATGCTTCATCTGGCGTCTAAAACGTCGACATAGTCAGTCGCTTTTATTGTCGTGTTTACTCACTGGAGCAACTGTTGTCTGGTAAGTCTTACGTTTTAGAATGTGGAATTGCAACTTCGGCAACATGCTTCAATTTTCCTAATAACCGACATTACATCAACTTAGAAGGTATATCCGTGAATCGATAGGGTATTCAAGTAAAAGACAAACACTTTTAAAAGAGGAATGAGCGCACCTGAAAGTTGGAAACATCGGAGGCAGTGTTTATTAGAACTACAATATGAAGAAGTGGATCCGACAAAGCAAAGGGAGACCGGAATGGCCATTTC